TGTACATAAATATTGTCAAAAGGCGTTGTTGATTTACAGGCAAATTTTCTACACCTTGTAATGTTTTATTTGTGTTTAGTCTTAAGAATTAACCTTTATTAAAAAGAGTCAGATAATCAAGTATATGCCTTTATCTTTGTTTATATCAATCATTCAGCGATACAATCAAGTGTATAAAGAATTTGTCTTAGAATTAAAGACAATTGTTGTACATTTAATTGCAATGCGATTTTGAATTAAATATGTGGAGATAACGAACTGTATTTGAGCTCAAACGTCCAATTAACATTACAAAATAGGAGCAGAGCAAACACAGACCTCAAAAACATCAGTGGTGGGATCAGGTGACATGAGGGAGTGAGCATCCCCTGCCGAATGGTCACAACCGCCGTGTGCTTCTTTGTCATACCTTTGTTCCGTTTTATTAGCACGTTTTTTTACATTCGATTCTGACTAATCTAACTAGGGAACTAAGAGAAGAACCAATACGTTGGTATCTTACTAAAGTTTTTTTTAAATTAATTTCCTCTCAATCATCTGCTGAAATGCTGTCTCTTAACATCTGAATCGCATAAGGGTAAATTCCCAGACTACTGTCATAACTGTTTTTTCCCAATGTTTTACTCATACCGTATCTAAATTTGTTAAAAATGTTTTAACAAATAATTCAAATTACGTGTTTAAAACATTTTGAAAATATTATATGTTTTTTCAATCTTATTTAGTGCAAAATATCGTTGGTGATTCTGAAACGTATACATTACAATTGAATAATGCCATTTTTCATATCTTCTGTAAAGTGGAGGAAAGAAAACATAGACGTTTTAAGGAGGTTATATCCTGCCATTAAAAATAATGAGAATTTTTTTATCAAGTATATCTTTTAGAATTAATACACATAGCATTAATAAAAATAAAAACAAAAAATGGAGGTCAATGCGCTTCTTTTGCCGCTACAGAGCATTTAGTTTGACTTTTTGCACTGTAAATATGACTTACATAGAAATCAATCTTTAAAGTTTTTCCTCCAATATTTTTTGTTCAAATAAACTAGGGAACAAACACAGTCTTATTTCATCTTAGATAGACACATTAATATGACAATGAAGAAATTTTTAAATTACTCTGCATGTTCAATTATTTGACCTTTTTACACTAAACATTTTCTTTTTTTTCTGCTTTAAAAATTTAACAAGCAAAAAAAAAAAAAAAAAAAAAAAAAAAAATTGAAAGTAATACCACTGTACTGAATTCAAGAAGAATGGTTATCGTATATATTCAGAAAAGAAAATTGAAAGTGGGGGTCAGTGATTTTAATTTTTAAATATTACTAAATAAGTGCTAATTTTAAGCTAAAATAAGGACTATTTTTTTCCTTCATTTTCACAATATATTTGCTATATTTATCAAATATAATGATAGAATTTCATGGCAGTTTATTAAAAAGATAGCTAAGGACAGGTGGGCGCTCTGCATTTAAAAACAAGAATCCAAAATTAACATACTTTAAATATTTCGAAAGAGAAAAATGAACATTTTCTTCTAAAAAAACGTTTGCTACAAAATATAGTTCCTCACTTAATGCTTTGGTATTGAATTTAGTTTTAACTGAATATAGTTAATTTGACTTTGTGGAATCCGCATTTATTGTAAGAAAAAAAACATTATGCAGGATGTTTGAAATAAAGCTTAAGATAAAAATCTGCTCAAAGGCTCATCGTTTCATACTCCAAATTGAAATAATGGCTTAAATTAATATGTTCCTTCGTGGAAAAGATATCAATACAGAAAATAATACTAACACATCGAAAACGGCAAAACAACATGGCATTGTAAAACTTCACATAGCGGCAATTACTACAGCAGTCGATTTTTTTTAAATTTTTTTTTTGTAAATAGGGAAAACCCAAGATTAAGCACTGAAAAAGCTGGAGGAAGCAGGAAATATCCAAAAACCGAGTCGTACATATACATGTGTGTTATAGGCACAAGCGGTGTTCGAATGAGATTCTACATCAGACGAGACCATTTTATCGGATAATCTGCAAAACTGATCAAAATCGTAAATGAGTGAGTAACTTCCGGGTAAGAGATAAAGGCCATTCACAGTAGCACATCTTACATCAGCATATCTATGCATTAAAATACTTCAACATTGACAACTAAAATTTTGCTGCTAGAACTAAAGAAAGAAAAATAAATTTTAAGTGATGAATAACCGTTTTTAATGATTGGATAGAAGGAGTATTCTTAAGAAAGTCATGAAGCTATGATTTTGACATTACATTGTGGTCAAGTGTGTTCCAGGTTAAAAAAAATTCTCATTTAAAAGTTAAGTAACAGGGATTCTTTTAAATGATATGAAAGGAAACTTCATAATTCAACAATACAATATATGTATATGGCGATAACGAACCGTATCTTTTAAAAACCCAGAATAAAACAACATAGGAGCAGAAAAAACACGAACCTCCGAAACATAATAGGTGGGATCAGGTGTCATAGAGGAGTGGGGACCCCCTGCCGACGGGTTACAAAGTAGGCTTTGAATAAATTCTTATTCAAGAAATATTAAAACTGTTCTGCTAATAAAGGAGCACAATTAATGCCCTTTAATTAACGAGCAGTTTATTAGAAGATATGGTCTTCATGGAACATATGAAGACTGTCAACGTTGAACTCATGCACCTGTATTTTTTCAAATTCAAAAAGTGTGATGAAAATGAGTTATTGTAAAGGCAAGGTAAAATAAAAAGATGGTAAGTTCCTGTAATTTAAGAATTTTAAGGTTGATTACTTCTTTCACTTCATTTTCAACATAATTAACATTATCAATAGTAATGTTCCCACTGGGGCTTATACAGTTGGAAGAAGAAGACCTCTCATTATGGCTTTGTTTTAGAGACTTAGCCTATTGATAGTGTGGGGTTTGTATATAGGTTAAAACTGAAAAGTTTCAAAGAAAAATTTGGAGATAATTTTTCTATTTTATATTTAAGTTGGAAAAAGTTTTATTTAGGTGAATCAGCTTTGATAAATTTGATTTTTTTTTTCATCTGAATTGAAATATTTAGATAAGTGTTGCAGATTGTATGCTGTATAGCACAACATTTGTGAAAGTAAAAAAGTAAAGTATTCAGCAACGACTTTATATATATATATGTTAATTTGCGTATTAAAAGATTTAGGGGCAATTTGAAAACCATCTCATCTATCCTTCTGCATTCAATAATCCAGAAGTGAAAAAAGAATTAGATTAAATGATCGGTACGTACTGGTCCCTGCTGACAAAGCAGGTAACAACATTGTCTTCGTTTGGAAGGCTCCATATATAAATTGTATTTTCGAAGAACTTTTAATTCTACAAGTGGTAATCAAACTTATACTAATAGTTCCCTTTCTAAGGAAGAAATTCTTCAAAATCATGTTATAAACTTCATAAAAATCCTTACAAAGGTACATAGCGGGTTCCGGTAAATGTTCAACCAAGCCTCCTTCTTCCTCACTAAGATATTGACAGTGGTGAAGGGAAAACTTCAAAAGTACTGAACAAAAATATATTCTAGAAGTGGTGTGAATCAGATGTGGATATTCAAAAATTCCAAATATCTTTTGGACAATTTGAAATCACAAGATTGTAGCAAAATCAATAGCTTAAAAACTTAAGAATTTTTTAATTTTACACACAACCATTCCCCATGATATATTAAAGTCCAGGCTTTTTGATATCATTAACAGCTGCTTTATAAAAATGAAACTCGTAAATTTACTTACCTGATCATCGGTCATTTGCAAAATTTTTTATTAAAACACATTTTGATTGCACACACAAGTAATCTGAAGTTGACATCAAAAAGATGCTTGAGTTTCTTATTGACAATATCTATGTGGTTTTTGGAGACCAGATCTTCCAACAATCTATTGGAATTCCCATGGGTACCAAATGCAACCCGTTACTAGCAGACCTATTTTTGTATTCATATGACAGAATTTGTACAAAATCCTATGCGATAAAAGAAGAAAACACTTGCTGTGACCTTCGACTCGACATTTAGATATATCGACGACATATTGTCAATTAACAATGGTAATTTCCATTCTTGTGTCGATATGATATATGCTGGGGAGCTTGAGATGAAAGCTACCATAGAGTCTGACTTGGATATTTTACTTGAAAAAGACGTTAATGGTAATCTAACAACCAAGCTCTATGATAAACATGATGACTTTTCTATCGTCAACTTCCCTTACTTATGCAGCAATATATCTTTATCACCTGCATACGGAGTTTATATATCTCAGTTGATACGATACGCAATAGTATGCTCTATATGTGAACAATTTCTAAAGCGATGTAAATAATTGACAAACAAGTTGATGAAACAAGAGTATCAGCAGTCTCGTTTAAAGTCACTTTTCGTAATTTTTATGGTCGATACAATGATCTTGTCAGCAATTTACCATTGAGTCAAACGATGAATGACGTTAATTGTTTTTCTTATTTTAAAATTGTTAGGCCATTATTTATACACTGAATTGACGAAGTATTTTTCCGTTATTTCAAGATCATGACAAGGAGAACGGTGGGTGTGACCGGTCGGCAGGCAGGAGATGCTCACTCTTCAATGGCACCTGATCCCACCTCTGATGTTTTGGAGGTCCGTGTTTGCTCCGCTTCTATTTTTTACATTTATTGTTTTATGGACTTTGATATTGAATACTGTTCGTTATCCCCATATCCTTTATCTAATAGGGATAAATGCACAATGTCATGTACCCTGGACTTTGACTGCAAGTATGTATTGTTGTTTCCCTACAAAAATTGACTTTTGTCTTTCAAGTTATATATTTAATTATCATTATAAAATGATTCCCCTCATAGCTATCGATTGTTCCAATCATCAGTAAACTTCCCGGAGACAGAGTAAGGTCTCCAAGTGATAATTAAAGGGAGAAACCCTGAATAGCTGATGCAAACAATAAAATCCATTCTTCAAAAGTCTCCAAAGAGTTGTGTTTACTTAATTGTGTATAGTTTGTAGAATGTCTTCAAATGATTTCACAGATAAATCCATGAGGGGTTTCACAGCAGTCATCAGCCCATCTGCCATCTGTTCTTGTGATGGCGCAGTCCGCGTCGGACGAATTCGTCACACATTTGTTGTAGTAATCGTTGGGTTGACCAGGGTTCCAGTTAGAATATACCAGAGGATGCCCAGTGACCCACTTAAAGGTCCCTTCCGTCTCCCGGTCACTAAGGCCAATCCAAAATCGGATCACGCTGGATCCAAGGCCAGCTACAAGAAAAATACCCGGTTAACAATTAATCCCAAAATTGCATGTTTATTTTTAAAGAATGTGTTGTCTGACTTCTGAATGTTTCTAACTGATTAACTTAAGTTTCAATCATTTTTTTATGGTATATAGTTTTTTGATCCAGTGTGATTATAGTTCATGTTTAGTATATGCATGAACAGTTGTCAAAAATGGGTCGTGTTTTTTTCTAGCATTTTAAGGATATACTCTTTTAATTATCTTTTCAAGAATTAATAATATCAAAAATATATATATATTTTTTAAAAATGGTGCATGACCACAACATGTGTGAATAGTTAAAAACAAATCCTGTAGGCTATTGTACTTCATCTCTCTAAGAACTTCATAAATATTGATTTAGTGTAACTTTCGTACTTATATGCAAATGATGGTAAAAATCATGTCAAATAGTTTGTTATCCTTACAGTTTATTAGTTCTGTGACCAGACTGGTTTTGTTTTCTGTATCTATGGACACTAGTGTGTTATTCTTACAGTTTATTAGTTGTTTGACCAGACTGGTTTTGTTTTCTGTATCAATTGACACTAGTTTATTATCTTTACAGTTTATTAGTTCTGTGACCAGACTGGTTTTGTTTTCTGTATCTATGGATACTAGTTTATTATCCTTACAGTTTATTAGCTGTGTGACCAGACTGGTTTTGTTTTCTGTATCAATTGACACTAGTTTATTATCCTTACAGTTTATTAGTTCTGTGACCAGACTGGTTTTGTTTTCTGTATCTATGGATACTAGTTTATTATCCTTACAGTTTATTAGTTCTGTGACCAGACTGGTTTTGTTTTCTGTATCTATGGACACTAGTGTGTTACAGTTTATTAGTTCTGTGACCAGACTGGTTTTGTTTTCTGTATCTATGGACGCTAGATTGTTATCCTTACAGTTTATTATTTGTGTGACCAGACTGGTTTTGTTTTCTGTATCTATGGACGCTAGATTGTTATCCTTACAGTTTATTAGTTCTGTGACCAGACTGGTTTTGTTTTCTGTATCTATTGACACTAGATGTCCACCGTCACGTTGACAGAATACTTCCGCTGCCGTCCAGTTTAACACAGGGGCGTTAACGATCCTCAGACAAGACTGGGTCTTCTCATAAAATGTATACATACCATGTCGACAAACTGAAAGACGATCAGATTTTTTTCATTTTCTTTTTCTTTTCACTTTTTAAAAATAGTTTTCTTGCCTTCCCTTATTCATTTTAGCGCAATAAAATAAAACGTCGATTCTGAAATTACATTATTGAGATATTTTGTAAACATGTATAAAACAGTACAAAAATCTTTAAAAATACAGGATTTTTTTAATGAATAAAAAAAGAAAAGGAACAAATTTTGTGTGCTAAAATCCATCAGAAGCTTATTGAATTACAGTACATGTATATGTTTTCTCTAAAGTCCTTAACAACAAAGAATACTTACCAGTCTTTATACAGGTTGTTGTTTTTTTCAAAACTACACAAGACTCTTGTTGAAGACAACTATTTTGAACGCATTCTTTCATCAGAGCCTAGAAAAAAAATATATTTATTTTTAAAATAAAATATATGAATTATTGCGAATTTGATAAGAATTTTATCTGATTGTGTTTTAAAGGTTCCATTGAGTACCACAAAATTTTTTTATTGTACACATCCACTCCTACTCGACAACGTTAAGTCACTTAGAGATGAAAGGGCATTCAGAAAAAAATTCTTTATAAAGCAATGTCTTTCTGTTTATAATTATTTTCAAAACTTATTTCAAATTCATTTTCAATTGAATATATGTTATTCAAATATTCAAAACACTTTTCCATAATTTTTTTTATAGATTTCTCGAAATGTTAATAAACATACCGGTATTAATTCCTTTTTAACAAGCTATCATTTACCTATTTTCAAAACTACAAAAATATTTCAAAAACACAAAAGAAAATTAAAAAAAAAAAAGCGAACCTGAGTTCCTGTGATGTTGTTTATAAAAATGAAATCACTGTCACTGTGAAGGGATTCGGGGTCTAAATCCTGATTGATGTGATAACAAGTCAGTTGATTTCTATTATAATTCACAGATTGACAAAGTCCCTCGAGAAAACATGATCGAACACACTGTTGCAGTCCGAAAGGACTCAGTTGTGATAACACTGAAGTCACATTGGCCTTTCTTCCGTAATAAATATTCCCTGGTATTTTACCGTCCGTAAACAAAGGAAAAGTTTCAAACACATATATAAGAATAAAAAATACATTAAAACTCAGCATAATTTATCTCCTAAAAGGTTTTAGACACGCCACATTTGCTCTGGTAACGATTCCCAACCGTGGACACCCATATCTAGGGGTAATGGAACCTTCAGGAACTCCAGAATTGATTGACATGCAATTAGACTTTACTGAAAATATCCAATAAGTTTGGCTATTGATCTAAATTTTAGAGCCATTACCATTATAGCAATCCACTTTGTTCTTTACTCTAAATATATGTTATGTATCTGAATGGGAAATTAGAATGTTTGAAACTTTTCATCTAGAATGTATTGCCCCAAAATAGATGTTATTAGTAATAAGGAGGAAATCAAGTCAAAAATAGGATAAAATATACTGCTAGTTGTGCTAATTAACCTGTTTATTGAGATTTTATGAACTTGTTTCAGAGTAAGCCATTGAGAACTCAGGAGTGACATATATCCAATAAAATATTAATGGACAAATCAATTCGATTATGGTAGCTAAATTAACACACATTTTATTGAATGTTCAGATTATAAACAGTTCGGAGTCAATTAAGTCTGGTTTTCTTCAGCGATGTGGAACATAGCTTGTTAATGAAAATGTAAGGAGAATATTGATCACAAAAGTTAAAAAAAAAATATTTCAAAGGCAACCGAACATCATGTGACAGCTCCCTCGTAATAAATACACGCCAAATACAAAGTTTCCATTATTTTTCTATTACGAACATTAGATCTAGACAAAATCATCATACTTAATTGGAAATAAGTTCGTTAAAAGGCCCACTTTTCGATGATCCAGAATACAATACTAAGAACATGTTTTAAACTACTTTTGGAATGTCCAAAAATCCGTGATTTAGGGCTTGTCTGCTGGTTTTCATGTTTTATCTACCTATCAAATATTTCTTTATTTGCAAGGTCTGTCTGTGTCCGTCTGTCTTTTTGGTTGTCTATCACCCTCTTTATTTTTTCTCGTGTAAACACGTGCAACATGGGGCCTTAAGACCTTCTCATCTGAAGGACCGATTTCAATGTTCCGCAGTGGATCCGAACCTGTGATGTAAGGACCGTCTCCTTACTCTGCAATACTAAAGCAGATGCTCTAACAAAGTGATGTACCACTTTGCGGGAGATAAACAGATAATAATAAAATACAATTGCACTTTTTATTGTTTCTCTATTTTTTAACAATGAAATGACAGGGGATTCCAAGTCGTTCTTTGCACCTTATCTCACTTCTTATGTTTTTTAGTCCTTGTTTGCTCTGCCTCGATTTGTATTGCTTAAATGGACTTTTGATGATGATAAGAGTTATCCTTATATTTTATGTAAGAGAAGATAAAACTCGGAAATCATCCTTCAAAAACCAATTAAACGATTATAGTGAAACAGCGCAAACAAGGACCATTGAAAAGGTGTGATCAGGTGAGAATGAGGATCCAGCAAGTATACGCTGTTGACTGTTCACCACGCCGTAATTCTGTTGCCTCCATCTTATAATGCGATATATATGAAGATTCGACATTAAAAAAATGACCTAACATTTTGAAAATCATTGATCAATGTACGGTCTAGCAAAACATAGAATTTTCCTGTAAAACTAATATATTGGCCACAAATTTGTTAAATGTTAACCTCAACTAAATTAATGATAATGTTGTTTTATCAAACTATTTGTTAATAACCAGCACCAGCTTTTAAAAATTCTACTATATTGAACATGATCTTGCCTATCGATTCAGTTAGGAGAAACACCTCATATACAGATGATAATGGCATATTTTTAATATGGCTCTTTCTTCATACAATGTTGTATAATAAAAACATGCAACAACTTTAATAATAGACAGTAACATAAATCTAAATCCTATGGTACGATATTTTTCAAATAAATGAAAAACATTTGTGGAGGTATCAGCATAAACTTAAATATGCAAACTATATGTTCATAATTTGTACAACACAATATGTTACAGTAGAAGTTTTATTTTAATTGTAACACTTTATTTCAGTAAATTCTGCATTAAGCGGACAAATTCAGTAAGTTCTAAAACGATAATTTAAATTGTATCTAATATTGGTTTTCAAGTTAAATAAGAAATATCTAATTACTATTTTAATAATAAACAGCTCCTTTAAGGAAAGTAATTTCTGTTTTGTCAGGAAAATTAAAAATATGTGAAAACTTGGCATATTACTAGATATCTAATAATCAATAAAATTGAAAGACTTAATTAAACATTCGTTTCACGGTTTGCTATGTCTAATTATCACATGTTTGACTATTGTATTTTTTGTTTTACTGTCACAATTTAACACATGTAGATGAAACTGTTTATAGAAATGTAAAATAAAACCCAGGCGATTAATATGAACAGTAACTACAAATACAATGTATTACCAAAAATGTACATCTCTTTTGCACAACAGTAACTTTTGACAAAATTATAGCGACTTTGAATTGACCATGATAAAAAAAAGTCAAAACCAAAATTTATTATTTCTCATACTACTATTTTACAAACATCATATACATTGTACTTTAAATTATTTTGTGAACTCGAGGAATTTGTTAAAACGTCCAATACAAATATGACAAGAATCAGTCCTACTAAAATGAACAGGATTTCATTGAAACTTTCATTCATTGTTTGATGGTCATTTTCCATCATGCATGCACAGAACAGACAAATATCTCTCTATAGAGCTAACATTTATAAAATAATTGACAATGTACAGTTTCTATTTCACATATTTCCTCAGGGCAGACTGTCTAGGGAGCGTTTCGGTGGAACTCCTGTTTTTGTCTCCTCCGCGCGGCCGATATTTTCAAAAAATAAAATCCTGTAGGAAAGAAAAGTTGATTGATCAACTACATAACCTAATATTCTTTAATTGTAGTGTTATTTAAAAAATTAGGTTTTATAGAAAAATATTTCATCTGCCATTCTACAGGATTGATATCAGCCTTTATCTGGTGATGCTAGTCCTTTCAGAATGTACTCTGAATAAATTCACAACATTGTCGCAATATCATTAAAAGGATGTTCAGTTTAAGGACAACTTTTGGAAAGTTAGCAATGGGACGCATGAAACATTTGCTGAGGCATTCCCTGTTAAGAAGCTGATGGTTCGTTTTTAGGGGTGAGAATTGAAACGAACCATCAACTTCCTAATAGAGAATACTGCTGAGGTTGTTAATTGTTTATCTAAGGACACGATAAAACACCTATTAAAGTGTTGTTGTTGTTTTTTTGTAATATGAGGACAATATTCAGTATGAAGCATATTACTAAGGACAGAATATTTCACTACCAGATACACAGCTGGGGGAGATAATAAGATAAGATAAGACAAGATAATTTTATTTTCCAATTTTGGGCCCATAGGGCATAAAGGTTCTTTTTACAATGATTCTTTCAGAACAATAGAAAGTTCTGAAAGAAAGGTTAGTAAACATACACAAACATAAACACACACATGTGTATATCTGATATAATATATACAAGTAACTGTACATGTAGATGCAGCAGTTGGGGTTATCAAATCGCTAATTAACATGCAATCAAAATCAATATTATCAATATACATATATACTAATATATGAGTTTGAGGACAGAATAAGTTATAAATTTTAATACAGTTACGAGGATGGAACCCAAAATATAATTTCAGGTAAATTTCAAAGATATTCTTTTTGTCATGCTACCGTGCACTTTGAGGAAATGACATTTGAATAGTGAACATGGTTAATCAACGCTGCCTTTGACGAGTTAGCTTGATTTTCTTGATCAACAGAATTCTTTATGTATCAGCATACTCGTTTAAAGTCATCATTTCGTAAGTTCTATGGACGATACATTGACCTTGTCAAGAAATACAATTTATCATTGAGTGAATTGCTGACGTTTTTCATACAAATTGTAAAGTATTTATTTACACACTAAATTGTCAATGACGGATTATTCCGTTATTTCCCGATCATGACAAGGAGCACAAGGCAGTTGTGACCGGTCAGCAGGCATGTTACCTGATCCCACCTCTGATGTTTTGGAGGTCCGTGTTTGCTCTGCTCCTATTTTGTACTGTTTAGTGGACTTTTGATCTTGATTACTGCTCGTTATTTCTATATATTTCATTGTATTCTTGCGTAAAAATATTGCTTTTTAACTTAATTTCCACAAAAATTTGTAAAACCTTCTTCCTTGATGAAGATAATGTTATCTGAATGAAAATAAGTTAATGGTATCAGTATAAATGACGTGTTCTCGTGATATTTCATACATGTTTTAAAAAAGAATATGGTGTCTATATTGCATTTTTACAATCAAGTTCAAAGAAGGCCTTTTTGGTTTGTTTTTTTCTTTTTAATTAGATTAAGCAAATTTACCTTCAATTTCAATATATACAAGTATCGATGTGTTTTTAAAGAATCACTTCTTTCTTGGAGTAATAAAACGCAGTGTTATGATGAATCCTTGCAAGGTTAGTTTACCTAAACGTCCTTTTGAGAAGAATGTCACAATCACTAAATTTCTGATATCTAAAGTGTTTGTCTTTCTTTTTACTGTAGATTCCATATTTTTGGTGAGTACTTATTATTGGGAATGAATTCTTCAATAATAAATAATTATTTCACAAATGGACGGCTGACGAAGAGATTTTACATAGATTTCAGCACCATAAAAAATAAAAGCGAGTACTTTTATTTCGCGAATGGCGCTTCTCGCGAAATTACTCAGTAATTCCAGGCGTATAGATAGGAATCTACAGTACTCTCAAGGGAGACTTCATGAGACGTTTTGTGTATTATAGCTTGATGATGATGTCTTAATATAGGTAGTTTGGGTTTTAGGAAAAAATGGATAAGGATAGTTGTTAATTGTGAAGAGGTCAGTGGATGAAAGTTTGTTGATCTGAAGTTACATATGTTATTTATTTTAGAATAGATATTTCACGTACAGTTGGGCTGATGAAGGGAAATTATAGTTTAAGTTCAAGGATGACTACTGTGCAAGTAATTACTTCGGTGATAAAGAATTTTTAGTACATAAGTAAATTGATGGAGGCTGTTAGCACCTAAATTACTATATAATGTAAGTTAGACAGACGAAGAAGTATTAGTTGTAATAAATTTTTCAGGACGGTACTTAAAATGTTGACCCGGTTTTAAATAGCTATTTTTAAAGTGGTAATTTGAGAATGGTAAATTTGATACAGTTCAACAGATAAGAAAGCTTATGTTGCACTGAAAGGATATAATTAACTTTATATTGGTTAAACTGATAAGAAGGGTTCATTATACAGTATTGTCAGTTTTAGAAGTAAATTTTAACTTTTCACAAGATAAACTACATTGGACTTGTTAGATAAACTGATTATTTGTAGATAATTACGTACAGTTTTAAGATCGTGCTTTTGCCGCCTAGCATCATGAGGACAAACTCGCGATAGTTGATAGTCTCTGACCCTGTAGTATCTACTTCTTTGATCATTTTCTGGATCTCTAGATGTGTCTTGGCTTGTCCAAGCTTCTCCATCATACGCTTCATAGCCATCATACCTTAGGCATTACAATTTTCAAAATAAGTAATGGTCTAATGGTGTAATGAAATTACAGATGAATTTGTATCTTGAATTTTTCTTTGCGTCCACATATTATATAAAACATTACCAATTTCGAGGTTTTGATCCAAATCGAACTCCAAAAATTTTTCTGAAAGAAAAGTAAAGATGAATAGTTATTTTTTCGAAAGAATGGTAAAGTTGGTTAAATACTGCTGCTTGAATGACTTGGACCATCTTCCTTTAAGGAATAACTGTCTTATCTTTCGATTTCATGATGTGATCAATCGATAGGCTTGCGTGATAATTTGCCAAAGGCGTTTATGCATAAAATTATCACGCAAGCCAATTGATTGATCATCGTCATGAAATTGAAAAAAAAAATCTGACAGTTATTCCTTATACGAAGGGTGATCAAAATGTTCGCAAACTAATTGAATAACTTCCATACTAGAAACAATATTTGGTTTTAATGTTGATTATATTTTAAATTAATCCTCCCCGATTTTAATGCACATCAACCACCGTTCTGCGCATGCGCCAATCACGTGATATTGGCGGTCACGTGATCCCCTCCGTAGCGTTCTGTCACAAAAGTTAAATGATTTTTCCGAGTTTTATATTTCTTTCCATGTGAGTTAATATTTATGACAAGAACAGTTAATTTGTCAGATATGGTCATATCTCGGCAACGGAATGGGTGAATAATAACATCCTTTCCAAAAATAAGCATGGCGACCATTAAAACACAAATCTTCTGTCTCAGGAGAGACCTTTATTCAAGGTGGATTGAGAATGGGTGCATCCTTTTTATCATATCTAATATGTTTAAAATCTAAAGTAAACGATATCTTAGGTATTTAATACTTATATCATTGTTTAAATATTCAACTATTTTTCAAAGTGCTAACTGGAGGTCTTTGATAGCAAATTGCTTAATTAAAAATACATATCTTTTCAAACTTGCTTTCACTGGGCAAGATGACAAGTATCATTTTTAACCATCAGCCTTCCTTCACTAAAACGATTGATCCAATCATTAATTGAATTTATAGGAACTCATTTATCTCAATAAACTGTGTACAAATTATTATATGATACTGTAGAGGGATTTCTAAGATATTACAATAAATTGTACAGTCTTTTGTTGAACGTCACAACTGACCTAAATAGTGACGTCATTTTCACTTTGTGACATCACAAACAAGGAGAGAAACTTTATTCAGCATATGCTATTTATAGACCTTGTGTATGGCTATGTGTGTACCGAACTTCATTCTAATCTGAATTGTGGTTTTGTAGATATAGAGATAGTTTGCGATCTTTTTGATCACCCCTCGTATTTACATGCTTGATTTCGCCAATCCACGTGCTCCAAGCCCTTCTTCTGTCTAGCTGTTTTTCCCGCCCTGCACGTGGTTTTTTTGGAACCACGCCAATACATTTAAAGTACATTTACAATTTGTAATTTTATCTCGGACAAAGACATTGGAAATGTAAATATTAGAATAAACACTTATCTCTTAGCATAAAACGGGTATCACTTTAACTCTCCACTGGAGTATCTTCTTATCCTTACCCTTAAACTGCTCTCTATCCTTTACCTGTACTAACTTACTTTGATTCTTACCCAACACCTTATCTTATACTGTGTAAACACTTACCCTAATACCGTAACTTCTTCTTCCCCCAATTAATGCTCACTTTTCCCCTCTATGCTATGCTAACTTCCTACTTTTATACTGTGTTAACTTCCTACCCTTAGACTGTGTTAACTTCCTACCTTTATACTGTGTTAACTTCCAACCTTTATACTGTGTTAACTTCCTACCTTTATACTGTGTTAACTTCCTACCTTTATACTGTATTAACTTCCTACCTTTATACTGTATTAACTTCCTACCTTTATACATGTACTGTGTTAACTTCCTACCTTTATATTGTGTTAACTTCCTACCTTTATACTGTGTTAACTTCCTACCTTTATATTGTGTTACCTTCCTACCTTTATATTGTGTTAACTTCCTACCTTTATACTGTATTAACTTCCTACCTTTATACATGTACTGTGTTAACTTCCTACCTTTGTACTGTGTTAATTTCCTACCTTTATACTGTATTAACTTCCTACCTTTATACTGAATTAACTTCCTACCTTTATACTGTGTTAACTTCCTACCTTTATACTGTGTTAACTTCCTACCATTATCTTGTGTTAACTTCCTACCTTTATATTGTGTTAACTTCCTACCTTTATCTTGTGTTAACTTCCTACCTTTATACTGTGTTAACCTCCTACCTTTATACTGTGTTAACTTCCTACCTTTATGCTGTGTTAACTTCCTACCTTTATTTTGTGCTAACTTCCTACCTTTATACTGTGTTAACTTCCTACCTTTATACTGTGTTAACTTCCTACCTTTATACTGTATTAACTTCATACCTTTATACATGTACTGTATTAACTTCCTACCTTTATATTGTGTTAACTTCCTACCTTTATACTGTGTTAACTTCCTACCTTTATACTGTGTTAACTTCTTACCTTTATCTTGTGTTAACTTCCTACCTTTATACTGTATTAACTTCCTACCTTTATACTGTATTAACTTCCTACCTTTATACTGTGTTAACTTCCTACCTTTATACTGTGTTAACTTCCTACCTTCATACTGTATTAACTTCCTACCTTTATACTGTGTTAACTTCTTACCTTTATACTGTGTTAACTTCCTACCTTTATTCTGTGTTAACTTCCTACCCTTATTCTGTGTTAACTTCCTACCTTTATACTGTGTTAACTTCCTACCTTTGTACTGTGTTAATTTCCTACCTTTATACTGTATTAACTTCCTACCTTTATACTGTGTTAACTTCCTACCTTTATACTGTGTTAACTTCCTACATTTATACTGTGTTAACTTCCTACCTTTATACATGTACTGTGTTAATTTCCTACCTTTATACTGTATTAACTTCCTACCTTTATCTTGTGTTAACTTCCTACCTTTATACTGTGTTAACTTCCTACCTTTATACTGTGTTAACTTCCTACCTTTATACTGTATTAATTTCATACCTTTATACATGTACTGTATTAACTTCCTACCTTTATATTGTGTTAACTTCCTACCTTTATACTGTGTTAACTTCTTACCTTTATACTGTGTTAACTTCCTACCTTTATACATGTACTGTGTTAACTTCCTACCTTTATCTTGTGTTAACTTCCTACCTTTATACTGTGTTAACTTCCTACCTTTATACTGTATTAACTTCCTACCTTTATACATGTACTGTGTTAACTTCCTACCTTTATATTGTGTTAACTTCCTACCTTTATACATGTACTGTGTTTACTTCCTACCTTTATATTGTGTTAACTTCCTACCTTTATACTGTGTTAACTTCCTACCTTTATCTTGTGTTAACTTCCTACCTTTATACTGTGTTAACTTCCTACCTTTATACTGTGTTAACTTCCTACCTTTATACTGTGTTAACTTCCTACCTTTCTACTGTATTAACTTCCTACCTTTATACTGTGTTAACTTCCTACCTTTATACATGTACTGTGTTAACTTCCTACCTTTATACTGTGTTAACTTCCTACCTTTATACTGTGTTAACTTCCTACCTTTATACTGTATTAACTTCATACCTTTATACATGTACTGTATTAACTTTATACCTTTATATTGTGTTAACTTCCTACCTTTATACTGTGTTAACTTCCTACCTTTATCTTGTGTTAACTTCCTACCTTTATACATGTACTGTGTTAACTTCCTACCTTTATCTTGTGTTAACTTCCTACCTTTATACTGTCTTAACTTCTTACCTTTATACTGTATTAACTTCCTACCTTTATACATGTACTGTGTTAACTTCCTATCTTTATACTGTATTAACTTCCTACCTTTATACATGTACTGTGTTAACTTCCTACCTTTATATTGTGTTAACTTCCTACCTTTATACTGTGTTAACTTCCTACCTTTATATTGTGTTAACTTCCTACCTTTATATTGTGTTAACTTCCTACCTTTATACTGTATTAACTTCCTACCTTTATACATGTACTGTGTTAACTTCCTACCTTTGTACTGTGTTAATTTCCTACCTTTATACTGTATTAACTTCCTACCTTTATACTGAATTAACTTCCTACCTTTATACTGTGTTAACTTCCTACCTTTATACTGTGTTAACTTCCTACCATTATGTTGTGTTAACTTCCTACCTTTATATTGTGTTAACTTCCTACCTTTATCTTGTGTTAACTTCCTACCTTTATACTGTGTTTACCTCCTACCTTTATACTGTGTTAACTTCCTACCTTTATGCTGTGTTAACTTCCTACCTTTATTTTGTGTTAACTTCCTACCTTTATCTTGTGTTAACTTCCTACCTTTATACTGTGTTAACATCCTACCTTTATACTGTGTTAACTTCCTACCTTTATGCTGTGTTAACTTCCTACCTTTATACTGTGTTAACTTCCTACCTTTATACTGTGTTAACTTCCTACCTTTATACTGTGTTAACTTCCTACCTTTATGCTGTGTTAACTTCCTACCTTTATACTGTGTTAACCTCCTACCTTTATCTTGTGTTAACTTCCTACCTTTATACTGTGTTAACCTCCTACCTTTATACTGTGTTAACTTCCTACCTTTATGCTGTGTTAACTTCCTACCTTTATACTGTGTTAACCTCCTACCTTTATACGGTGTTAACCTCCTACCTTTATACTGTGTTAACTTCCTACCTTTATGCTGTGTTAACCTCCTACCTTTATACTGTGTTAACTTCCTACCTTTATCTTGTGTTAACTTCCTACCTTTATACTGTGTTAACCTCCTACCTTTATACTGTGTTAACTTCCTACCTTTATGCTGTGTTAACCTCCTACCTTTATACTGTGTTAACTTCCTACCTTTATACTGTGTTAACTTCCTACCTTTACACTGTGTTAACTTCCTACCTTTATACTGTGTTAACTTCCTACCTTTATATTGTGTTAACTTCTCCGCCAAATCTTCAACCTCTGAATAATCCTTGTCATTCAGAAAGTCCTGATGAAATGGTTATAAAAAAAACTTGTTATTTTTCAAACCAAGATCAATTTTATTTCAATGGGAAAATTTGTTTTAGTATACTGTAACTTATAAAAAGAAAGGGGTTAACAATGTAAAACGAAGAACAAAGACTTACCTCATTAATGTCGGATAGTTTCTTGCTTAACATCTCCATACGTTCACCATAGGCTTTCCCGCCTCAAAAAATATTTTTAAATAATATATTAGTAAAAACATATTTGGCACAACAAATTTAGGGGGGATATAAAGGGGATTCGAGTTTGTTAAAATGAACGGTCAGGACCTCTTTCAAGGGAAGATAACTTAGAATAACTAAACTTTGACTTATTATATTCCAAGGACTGTTAGGTTAGAAAAGTTTGAACTTATGTTACAGTTATAAACATCTTTAATGGATATGGAAGATTTAAGTATGTTCAAATCATTGAACTCCGGGGGTAGGTTAATTGGTTCCATAAATGAAGATCATTTTTACAAAAGAAAAGGGGGGAACTTTGTACAATCTTCTCAAGAAAAGATTAATCATATTTGATAAAGGGGCATTTTCAATTGTAAAAAATTAAATCTTGACATAAAGGGAAAAGATAGGCTATAACAGGAGATCAAAGTTATTATATATGAATATTTATGAGGAAGAAGATTGATCATTTTTTTTCTGTAAAGATCAACGATCCCATTTTAATTATTGGCATACTATTATTTATTTTAAGAATTAAAAATCCCAATTTTATTTTCCATTTCCGATACTTCCTTGCACTTCTTAGTACACGCAGCTTAAATCATATCAACTTTCCGTTTAGGATAAAAAGAGTGGCTTTTTATTTAGAAAATTTTTTATTTAACATTGAAAATTATAAATCCAGAAAAGCTTTGTATAACAAAGGGAATAATTATATATGTCTTAAAACTTCTGGTATTTACAATTTTTGAAGAATTAAAAAAAAAAATCTAAGGAAAGTTTATTCGTGTATTTGAGCATTTGAAAATTTGAGTCATCTTTCTGTTGATTCAAACAGAGGCGCTGTTACAGTCCTAGCGCTTACCCTGACAATATGCGATGCATGTACATTTAAAAAAAAAGATTCAAGAAAAAAGCTATTCATAACGAAAACTCTAATTTCCGCTGCTCTAGAAAATACAAACTCTCTTTGTGCATTAAAAAAAGCAAAACTTGAACCTTGTATCTGAGTACTAGTATTTGAAGTGCTCGGAGGTTTTGATTTTTGAAATTTCTATTAATATGACAACTTAACTCAATTCCTTTACAATTTAATAAATCTTTGAACTTCCATCGACCTGAGGTTTTTTTTTTTAACAAAGTAAAGATTTTTTTCTAAAATAATATGTCCCTTACCCTGGTAATCTGGCTTTTTGGTCGCCATTTTTATCTCGTGTTGTCAATCTGTTTCTAAAGTTGTCAGAGCTGCAGAAACAAGCTCACAACTTCCCTGTCCAACGCTCACTTCCGCACAAACACAAAATACATGAAATATAATTTTACACTATCACATGTCGAGATTTGTTTTTTTTATCACCAGACAATCGTCAAGTACTAAAGAATTACGAACGGGAAATCGTTCATAAGTGCCCACAAGTTAGTTTTCAAGAGAAATCTCATTTTATAATATTATGTAAGACTATTGTACTACTGTAACACGGAAGTATTGAATTGTGAATTTTTCATGAACAATTTATCAGATAGGACAATTTTCCTTCTATTTCTGTGTTAAAGTGGGAAAACATTCACCAATATCTGCCATGTCAGCGCTGTAGCACTTCGCGACAGTTATGGCCTGACAAACTTAAATCTAATATATTGTGGGGAAACATTGCTGCATTTACAGGAACAACACGCTGTCACGCTAACACAAGTCCGCGCAAACACGCCGCCGCGCTAAAAGACGCTTTCAAGCAAACACGTCGTGTGAGTTGTCTGTTAGCGAGACAACTTGTGTTAGCCTGACAACGTGTCGTGTGTTGGCGAGACAACTTGTGTTAGCCTGACAACGTGTCGTGTGTTGGCGAGACAACTTGTGTTAGCCTGACAACGTGTCGTGTGTTGGCGAGACAACTTGTGTTAGCCTGACAACGTGTCGTGTGTTAGCGAAACAACTTGTTAGCCTGACAACGTGTCGTGTGTTAGCGAAACAACTTGTGTTAGCCTGACAACGTGTCGTGTGTTAGCCTGACAAGGTTAGCGAAACAAGTTGTGTTAACCTGAAAACGTGTTGTGTTAGCGCGAAGGCGTGCTGTGTGTAACAACTTGTGTTACTGCCAAAAAGTAATATCATCTATTCGAATAAGTGATATCACTTGTTTGATTTGAATTGGTGATATCACCCATTCGAAAAGGTGATATCACTTATACGAATAGGTGATGTCACTAATTGGAATAGATGATATCACCTATTCCTTGAATAGGAGATATCACTTATTCGAATAGGTGATATCACATTTTCAAATTAATTATGAAATAACAACAGCTCCCAAGACCATAGGTCTCTAAATCTTATTAAGGTCTTCCGTCTTCACGGAAGACCTTATAGTGATTCTACTGTTTCTTATTATTATTATTAATTTTTTTGACAAAAATTTGTGCAGTCGATTTCAACGTGGCGTGTGTAATATGATCTTTGTTCATCACAAACAAAATTTGGAAAATGTTGGTGCCAAGTTATGGACAATTTCCTGATTTTAAAATGCGATTTTGTCGCGCACTTTTATCAAAAATGGTTGAGGATATGAACTGGAGACTTATTGGAGATGATAGATCATGACTTTGTGATTTGCAGAATTGCTTTTTCGTGCGTCGTCAGTACTTCCGGTCGTTACGAGATGCAAATTTAAAAAAAGCGTTTTTTGTTACTTTTTTGTTTTTCAGTATTTTTCATTTATTTTTGGTATTTTAATAGAACCCCTTCATATTATGCTTACTATATAATTTGTTTGAATGCTGATAAATCTAAACTCTTGATATTAGCATTCAAAAATCTGAAGCGGGCCCAAAATGGCGGCTGTCTCTTTCAACGCCGACAATTCGCAATTGTGGTTTACGGAGGCAGCAGAGCGTTTGCTTCAACGAAAGTAACATAAGGATAAATGATATGTAAAGGAATACTTGGATTGTGTCGTGTACGTTGCAGTTCTGTGTCAAACTAACGTCTTCTTTAATTGGTTTTGGCTGGTTCTCAAAGTAGAAAAAGAAAAGACTAAATGTGCAAATGAAATTCGATACCTAATATTCTTGTGCACCACGAAAAAAAAAAGATCTTAAATCATACTTATAAATAATACTTTCTCAAAAAGAAAATCAATTATATCAGTATCAATATCAAGTATAAATCTTAACCACTGTTTTTTATGCACACTTGTGTCATATTAAACTTATAAATAAGAAAAAATAATAAGAAAGCGATTTTTTTAGAGATCGCTTCATGTATTTTTTTTTTTAGCATTTTTGTCTCAAAGACCTGATTCAAGTTATTCAGCATAAATGATATCTGATTCCTTGACCGTCGTGCCTTTAAGGCGAGCCATGTTTTTCGGCGAAACGTTTCAACCTTTATTTCGATTAACTAATCGCAATAGTTCACTTTGGGGATAAACAGGAAATTGAAAAAAAAAAGTTAAAAATTTAGAACCGTTTCATAGCTTTACATGCATATATACTAAATGAAATTTGTATTTGTGTTAAATATACTTTCTAAACTTCGAAAAGTAGGCTTTAAGAACGTTCTTTTTTTTTAAATTTCATTGAAGCTATCACACCTGTTTTATAGAACATTCCAAAGAAAAGGTGCGAAGATTAACTCGTGGCGTTTGGCGCTAAATTTTGAAGAGTGACCCGCCTTTCATAATTTTAAGAGAGAAGTACTGTTTCGTGAATATACAAGTGGATTTTAATGTAATAACGTAATATTTAGACAATTTCATGCTGGCGTCTTGCGTTCAAACTCCACTTGCGTGCAAATGTTTTTTTTACATATATATATATCTTCAGCTCCATTTTACGTTTTCTTTCCGGAATAGGACGGAAGACCTCTCGTTGCTCGCAACGAGCTCATATCTAGTTTACTTTCACTTTCGTTCTATAGCTCATCATTCTAGGAGACAATAGATTACAGTTTTGCATTTAATTTTAATCAACCCATATAGAAATTGTAGTTTGTTTTGCTCACAAATTAATTTATTTCACTTATCTATCATGTAAACTTTAAGTAAAATTGTGAAAAACGCATGAAAACTGGGTAGTATAAAATTGGCTTGGTTCCAGTGGTAATCTATATATTATAGGGAACAATAATTATTTATTGTTGTAAGAAATTCAAATAGGTGATATCACCTATTCAAAAGCGAATTGGTGATTTCACAAATTCAAATGGAATAGGTGATATCACCTATTCGAATATGTGATATCACCCATTGAAAATAAATACCAAAACGTCTCATACGCAACGACGTATATTTTTCTGGACGCAGTTTTGATGAGCTTTAGCAAATGGCCTACCATCTGGACACCATAAATTACAGAGGCGATACGTGCACCATTTAGCGCAATTTTTAAAAAATCTATTTTGGTAGAAATAAAAAAAACCGATTTTTAACGAAGATTAGCAATGTTATTGAACCTCGTAATGCATGAAAAGAAAGAAAAAGAGATATAATTTTCGCATTGCATATGACATTTTGTAAATCAGTAAGAATTTACAATTGATGAAGTATGCCTCATGCAAGATCTAGACCTTCCCTTAATCCTTTCGATTCGTTCCCGACCTTAATTTTTCCTGTCGGTGATGGGAATATCTGTATCTATATTGTTTTTTTAAAAGTTAATGGAGCCAAAACGAAAAGGTCTTGATTGGTCACTATATATTTTTTTAAAGAAATGCAGTTGCTTATAAATATATATTTTTCTCCGAAACATTGATCAAAATTTTAGATAATGACACCGAAATGCACCTGCTTAGTAGATAAACAGTGCTTATATAAAGTTTTTTTAAAGTAGGCATACCTCTATTTGTGCTTAATCCACGATCTTATGTTACAGTGTTAGAATTATGCATACGAATAAGCCTTTATAGAGCAGAGAAACAGTATATATTTGAATCCCTGCAGTCATACGCATTAATTTTACGTACAAACTGGGTCAAAACTACACACAGCACACATGCCAGACTGCAGAAATAATGATCATTAAAAATATACAAGTTCTTTACATGTACTTGTTGTTCGTCAAGCAAAAAATAAAATCCTTTCTTCTTATTATAAAGCTTGACATTCACCATTCGGTATATATTCCCCTTTTACCCAACCCGTCAAGAAATCTAACTCAGTGTTCTGCTCGAAAAATTAAATGTGAATATTTGTTCAAAAATACATAGTTTGAATTAATGTAGAATACATTTAAGCAGTTGGATTAGAATTAAAGATTATAGCTTGATGTTTTTTTTAGGCCCCATTCGACAATTTTTCACTCATATAAAGACGTCACTATAATATACATGTCCATTGAGGGCTTCAAACCTTTACTCGGTACTCAGGACAATGAGCAATCCCTACCGTGACTAGAGATCTCGGTTTTTATGGTCTTATCCGAAGGAATTGCAACTTTCACTTCAAAGTGTAGAGCGCCTGGTGAAGGTCGTAGGTCAGTCGCGACTGAGATTCTTTTTTCAAACCGAGCCAAGATACTGACAAATAAGTTGCTGTGGCAATGATTTCATCAACCCAGTTTGTCAGCTAAAAATCTCACGGTGGTTATGTTTAGTCTTTAAGAGGTTCTTTAACTTCTCATAGACCATAAACTGAGAACAGACTTAAGTCAAAATTTCAAATTACTATAACTTTTGGAATAATTTTGTAATTGAAACAAATTTTTCATCATATATTTGAATTTAAATATTACACAACATTACAAATTTTTCATCATAAATTTGAATTTAAATATTACACAGCATCGCAACGATTTTTAATTAAAAAAAATATTTTGTTTATGTACAAAATAATAAGTCTACAGCTCTGCTCAACCCCACGTGCTTCAAAATAAATTAAATCATAGTGGTCCGGCTTATCTTTTTTCATTTATTTAAGATTAACATGGAGGCCCTATAAACAATTTGTATATGACAAAATTATTATTTTTATCCATATGGATAATTATATTTATTTAAGACATGTAATCGCTTTCTTTTAAATCTTGAACACACTCTATCCTCGTGGAACGAATGATAACTCTGCAAGGAAGATTTGAACAAAGCCAAGGAGTTGTCCCCCTAAATTAGAACTCTTTTGGTTCAGGAGTTACGAAAGGTGTTGTTTATATTTCGAAAGAAAAGAGTGTCACTGTCCCACTGACTGTCAGTCACCACTGAATCAGAGTTTGGTAAAAGCCATCAAAAATGTCGTTGGATCTACTCCCTGCAAAGTTAAAACCTATCGGGCATTACATAAAGACAGCGATCGAACATGACAAGCGGGATCCGGTGGTTGCGTATTACTGTATGTGAATTTACAAAGTTACCTTCTCAAATGTCAAAACTGAAACTTAGTGAAGGTCTACATGATTACCATGCAATTATGAATGACATAATCACAATTACTGAGTTCTAGTAATATATCTGAAAAGTCTAAAATGATATTTGTAATTTCATGTAAAGGATAATAGATGAACTAAGTTATGTCATAGGAAAATGGAAAGTTTGCTTCCTCAATCACTTCTACTAGTGACAGTAGTACATCTTTTGTGAAACGTTGCATTGATTATGATCAAAAGATATTATACTATTAATCATCTAAAATTATCACATTTAAACAATATTATTTCAACTTTTTTCCAACATTTAATAAATGTTGGGTTTGCTATTGTATATATCATGTACATGTATATACTAGATGTCGTACAAGACACAAAAGATAAACAGAGAAATACATGTGTATAAAAGGGATGGAGAAATTTATGGCAGGCTGAACCAGGAATTGGACCTGGAATCCTGCATCACTTATCAGATGTACCACTGACAGAGTCCCTGTCATGCCAATAGCCTTAAAATAATGTTAAACTTAATGTATGGCTGGATCAAGCATTTAATAATCTCTGTGGAGATTCAGCTGGCTAGATATTTGGCCTGATGTCATCAGCAGTGTGAGAATTAGTATTTAATTATCTTGACAGGTTTCATGCTGTGTATAGCTCATCTAAACACCTTCCTGAAGGACAAGAGAAAAAAATTCTGCCTACAATGGTTTTTCTAAATCAAGCCAGTTCTTTGTCAATTTTCTTGAAAAAAAAAAATTAGAAACAATTTTTCTTTAAATCCATAAATTTCATGGAGAAGATGTGTTGCTGACAAAAAAACGATGAATATAATTCAAAAACTGAAAAGAAACATGATCTGTTTTTTTGACATTCTTTTTAAAAAAACATTTTTTTGTTTGTTTTCTGCAGGTCGGTTTTATGCAGTGAAGAAAGGAATAGAAATTGACAGCTCTTCTCCAGAATGTAAAAGCTACTTACTGGGGTTGATGGATTACTTGGAGAAGGTAAGTGTTCTACACTTATACTGACTGTTCCTATGAAGTAATGTATTGCACAATATTTATTACAATGGTTTTCACACATAAATGAATAGAATTCAAACAATAATTGTTCATTAATCATGTTGAAAAAATTAATCAAATCTAAAAGGAAAAGATATGTGTGCTTTATGTAATTTTTTTTTAAATGAAATATACTATTTGATTAATAAATGAATATCTTGTATTTCTTGCAGCAAAAACAGGCTGCCCCAGAGGATTCACCAATCAAAAATGAGGTCGTAGGTCAAGCACATGTGGAGAACTATGCTCTGAAAGTATTCCTGTACGCTGACAATGAGGACAGAGCAGGACGACATAACAAGTAGGAATTTAAAACAATTGAATTAAATACATACTTCTGTATCATCTATAGGAGTTATCAATACGCAAGTTTCGAGATTATCTCCCTTGGTGCGCTCTTTCGTTGAGGAGGGGAGTTTCGTTGCCGCGTAAACAAACAGGTGGGACAGATATTTGTTATTGTGTATGTTGGATACATTGCATCATCGATATACCGGTTTATCATAACTACACGATTGTCAGGATGCACTCTGCAGCTTGAGAATAACCGAATTAAAGTAAAGGCATCATTTTTAAATCAAAAATATCGAAACAAAAAAGAAAATATCAGTGGATATGAGACTTTTCTGACGAAGGAAGAGATATGGACCTCTTATAAATACGATACACATGCATCTGGTCATTGCACGTCGGGAATCTAAATTACATATTGATTCTTTTCCTTATTTTAACTTAAAAAACACTTACTTTTTAGAAAATGTTCGTACAATGAATAAAATCTGTTACTTTTTATAAAGACTATGACGTTTTTTCGTTTTCAAGTACCCGAAAAGAATGAATCCTCTAAACACTGCAATTTCGCCCCTTCTTACATGCAGAATTTTACCCTTTTAAATAAGAAAATTGTTATCTTAAAGCTAGAGTCTTCAAGTATAGTCTGTATGGATACTAATAAAGGATTGTTTAGGAAAGAGACTTTCAGTATATACATGATATCGATTAAATAAAGTCGCATATTTCACTGTAAAACTTCGCCATTACGGCTATGTAGGTCACTGAGAACAAGTATTTGAGTGAGAAGGCGGGGCGTCTATCAAGCGTGCGATTTGTATGAATACATTAGAGTGTGTTCGAATTGTACTTAGTTTTATGATGAAGTGACACCTAAAACCTCTTATTTAGTGCTAGAAGATGACCAAATATAAGTACCCTTTTTTTTAATTTGTCAGGCTTAACTTCGTTTTTTTTCTGTTTAACTTACGAGTCATATTTGAAATGATTTATTAGAAATTCGTCAAATTATTTATATATAAAGAAACACAATTATTTCGAATCTGTGAATAGAACGTATAATGCAGGATATATACACTTTTTTCATACTTTAAAACTTCATTTTTATAGAGATGATAATTAATCCATTAAAGCTTATGATTAATACATTAAAGCTCATTAAATTTACATGAATAACTATTTCATAGCATATACATATATGATTTTGCGAAATCACACCAAATACGGTTGAAATATGATATATAAACTTCACTCTGTGTATAAAAAATAAAATCGCAAGAAAGTGAAAATTAAACGACAGTTTAACGTCAATATTATCGTTGCTGGATATATAAAAAAAAACATCAGTGTTAGACAAGTGTACTTTGTACAGTCCAGATTGCATCGTTTAATTGGGGTAAACAATAAACCATTTAAAAAAAATTACGCCCTTCACCATTCGATTTTTTGTTATTAATATTTAATTGTTGTTAGATTTTGTGCCGATGTAAAGAGTTATAACATGTCGTCAGAAGTAACCCGGAATTTCCCTCTATTCAATTAGGGGTGCATTTTGTGCAATGTGTTCGTCCAGTGACTTTTCACCCGATATATAAGCCTTATCAACGTCTCATACTTCAATTTCTTTTCCGTAAGGTTTCTTAAATTTGAAGTATGCTTTTGTAACAAATGGTTTATTTTCTAAAGATATGATAAATTAGTATTTTTTTCAAATAACGATCTATAAAATTAACGAAAAACTGAGAGAAAAATATTTAATATCTTCTAAGGTTTGATGAACGTACCACTGATGTGATAATTATACTTAGGAACAAATAATATATCCACAGTATTTTTTTTTAAATTCTATATTAATGAGATACAAGTAGTAAGTGCAAGGTTTATGCTACAAGCCTCCAATATATATTGATAAATACCGAAAAAAAAAATCAAACAAAATCAACTGAAATATCGTTATAATAACAAATAAAAAAAATGTGAACATGTCCTGAATATACCGGCATAAACATTTTATCCCAGAGTACTTTAAAGTCTAATTATACCCATTTGAAAATGATTTGACCATCGATAGCTCGCAACAATGGACACGATGTCGCATTGATCTGCTCAAAGCATGAAAAGTGAATAGATTTGAGTCACGTGTTCAATGCTTTGTTATTCATGAGGTCAAAGGCGGATTGAATTTGTAAAC